AGGGCTCAGGGTTTAGCGCAAGGGGTTGAGCAAGCAGCAATTCACAATGGGTTTGTGGCCAACGGGGCGGCCAATTGCTGTTTGTGTTGCTGTTGCTGCTGTTGCTGCTGTTGCTGCTGCTGCTGCTGCTGCTGCAGGAGCAGCATCGACATCTCGCAGCTGCACGAGCTGCTGGTGCGGCTAGTGAAGGCCGCGCAGCAGGTGGAGCAGCAGCAGCTGCTGCTGCTGCAGCAGATGGCCACAGCTGCAGCACCGGACTCCGCATGCGAAGCCTCATTGATGGAGGCCCAGAGAGAAGCTGAAAGCGTGAGTGCTTTGCTGCTGCTGCTGCTGCTGCTACTGCTGTCTTCGCAGCAGCAGCAGCAGCTGCTGCTGCTGCAGACCATTCCATCCCATATAGGGTTTAGACAGCAGCAGCGGCAGCTTCTGCTGCTCCCTTTTGCTGCAGTGCTGCATGTTTAGGGCTAGACCCTAGGCACCATGTGCGTTTCTAGGTTGCTTTGCTGCTGCTGCTGCTGCTGCTGCTGCAGCACCAACTCACGCTGCTGGGCTGCGTGCGGCAGCTGCTGCTGCTGGCCTGCAGCACGGGGGTTTCGGCCCCAGAGACAGATCGCCTCCTTGAGGAGGCCTGCGAGCTGACTCTGGCTTCTGCTCCACTTGGTGAGGGTTTAGGGTTTAGGGTTTAGGGTTTAGGGTTTAGGGTTTAGGGTTTAGGGTTTAGGGTTTCCGGCTTAGGGTTTAGAGTTTAGCTTCTACGCTTGTCTCGCGTGCAGCAGGGGCTGCACTCCAGCCTGAGTTCTCGCGGCATATATCGTGTGGCTCAGGGCTTAAGGCTTAGGGTTTAGGGTTTAGGGTTTAGGGTTTAGGGTTTGGGGCCGTGTTTGCTGCAGTGGACGTGCGGCGGCTGCTCGTGGGAAACTTGAGCCCAGCAGAGCAGAGCATTTCCCCTTGGCCCGGCCGGCAGAGCAGCAGCAGCAGCAGCAGCAGCAGCAGCAGCAGCGTTCAGGGAGGCTACTCGTTGTGGCCTGCTTACTGGCTGAGCAACACAGCTGCTGCTGCTGCAGTCCAGCTGCTGCAGCAGCTGCAGCGGCGGCAGCACCAGCAGCAGACGGAAGCCGAGTGCGCCTTAACAGCAAAAATTTGTTCATCTCTTGCTGAGCTGCACGAGCCTTTGGAAAGTACGCTGCTGCTGCAGCTGCTGCTGCTGCAGTTGCTGCTGCTGCAGTTGCTGCTGCTGCAGTTTCTTGCTTGCAGATGGTTGCTGCTCTCCGCAGCAGCGTTTGTCTGGGCTGCTGCTGCTCGGCTTGCTGCTGCTGCTGCTGCTTGACTGGGCTGCTGCTTCGGCTGCTGCTGCTTGGCTTCTTGCTGCTGCTGCTGCTGCTGCTTGACTAGGCTGCTGCTGCTGCTGCTGCTGCTGCTGCTGCTGCTTGGCTGGGCAGCCGCTGCGTCTGCTGCTGCTGCGCGCTTCTGCTGCAGCTGGATCTGATGAGGCGGTGCTGCAGGAACTTGGCACTGGAGCAGCGGGAGACCTTTTTGGCTTTAATGCCCGTTTGTGCAGCACGCAGCTGCTGCAGCAGCAGCAGGTGCTGCTGCAGCACCGGCTGGTGGCGCTGCAGCAGAAGGCCGTGGAGCTGGCGGAGCTGCTGCAGCAGCAGCAACAGCAGCAGCAGCAGCACCCCCGCAAGAAGCAAAAGCAGCAAGGAGACTCTCAAGTGCTGCATGCGCTGCAGCAGCAAATCAGCAACAGCCAGGAGGCCTACGGCCGCCTCGCCCCTCTCTATCTAATCATAAGCAACGAGCTCCACCAGGTGAGCTCTAAAACCTAAACCCTAAACCCTAAACCCTAAACCCTAAACCCTAAAACAAACCCTGGCTTATTTGCATTATGCGAAGGACCTTTAGCTTTATCGCCTCTGCGATGAGTCTAAGTCATCTAAAGCTCTAGAGGGTTCAGCGTGTAGGATTTAGGGTTTAGAGTTTAGGGTTTAGGGTTTAGCACCAAGGGTTTAGGGTTTAGGGTTTAGGGTTTGGGTTGAGAGCTGGCTGCTGGCTTTCCACGGCCTTCTCCCATGTTCCAGAGAAAGTTGAATCGGCCTTCACGCCGCCGCCGTGCTGCTGCTGCTGCTGCTGCTGCTGCTGCTGCTGCTGCTGCTGCTGCTGCTGCTGCTGCTGCTGCTGTGTGCTGCAGCGGTGGCTGCGGGTGATCGCGACTTTGGACGCCTACTTTGCGCGCAGCAGCAGCAGCCCCGAAGCAGATGGGGCTTTAACAGATTTGCCGCTTTCTTTGCTGCTGCCGGCGCTGCAGTTCTTTTGTGGGGAGGAAGAGGGCATTGCTGCGCGCTGCTGCTGCTGCAAGCAGTGCCTCGGCTTCCCCAGCAGCAGCAGCAGCAGCAGCAGCAGCAGCAGCAGCGAGGGGAAGGAGTGCTGGCAGAGGAGCAGCAAAATTTGGAGGGACTGCCTCTACAGAGTGCTGCCTAGACACGACCTGCACAACGACCTCTGCGAAATCGTAAGAACTCCGCACCCCACGATCCCACACGATCCCACACGATCCCACACGATCCCACACGATCCCACACGATCCCACACGATCCCACACGATCCCAGTGGATCCTACACGATCCCACACGATCCCAGTGGATCCCAGTCGATCCCAGAGTGCTGCTGCAGCTGGAAGTGGCCACAGGAGCACAAGTGTGCTGCGAGCAGCTGCTGAGACGCCCTGTTGAGGACTGGCTGCTGCTGCAGTGCTGCTGCGCTGCTGCTGTGCTGCTGCTGCGCTGCTGCTGCAGCTGGTCAGCAAGAGCCTTGGCTGCTTCTGCCTCCGCAGCAGCAGAGAGCAGGAAATTGCCAACCAGCTGAGGGCTTACAAAGCCACTTTGTTAACATCTTTGGAGCAGATGCAGGCTGCTGCTGCTGCGCTGCAGCAGCTGCAGCACGAGATGCAGCTGCTGCAGCTGCAGCACAGGCACCACTTGCGCGTGGCCCAGCATCTGCAGGAACAGCTCCAGCAGCAGCAGCAGCCGCAGCAGAAGCTGCAGCAGCAGCTGCAAGAAGCAGAAGCAGCAGCGGCAGAAACCGCAGAGAAAATGCATGAAGCAACTGAACAGTCTAAGCAGGTACAGTCCAGGGTTTAGGGTTTAGGGTTTAGGGTTTAGGGTTTAGAATCAGCAGGAAAACATCAAATTATCGCATTCATTACACGACTGCTGCTGCTGCAGCCTCTGCAGCTACTGCTGCTGCTACTGCTGCTCCTACTGCTGCTCCTACTGCTGCTCCTACTGCTGCTGCTGCCACTGCTGCTGCTGCTGCAGCACGAGAGGGACTTCGCGGGCCACACGCAGCGCTGCGAGCTGTACGTCTCCTTTTTAGGGGATTTGCTGCTGTGTCATCCTTCCATGCTGCGCCGAGAAATAGCGAAGCAGCATGTGCAGCAGCAGCAGCAGCAGCAGCAGCAGCAGCAGTGTGAGGAGCAGCAGCAGGAGCTTCAGCAAGGCGAAACGGGCGCAGCAGCAGCAGCAGCAGCAACAGGAGAGTGCCTGCTGGACTTGCTGTGGAGAATAGTGACTGCAGCAGAAGCAGCAACAAAGCGGCTGCAATCCTTTGCCCTGCGGGTGCTGATGAAGCTGCTGCTGCTGGGCCTAGTGCAGCAGCAGCAGCTGCAGAAGGAGCAGCATGAGCGGCGGCACGACCAGCAGCAGCAGCAGCAGCAGCAGCAGCAGCAGCAAGACATGGAACAGACGCAGGCCGTGCTGGCTAGCAGATTTGAAGTGCTGCTGGAGGCCCTTTACCTGCAGCCTGTGCTGCAGCACCAATACAGAGAACACGAGAAATACGTGAGCCTGCTGCTGGCAGCAGCAGCAGCAGCAGCTAGCCATCTGCTGCTGCTGCTAGCAGCAACAGCAGCAGCTAGCCATCTGCTTCTGCTCCTAGCAGCAGCAGCAACAGCTAGCCATCTGCTGCTACTGCTAGCAACAGCAGCAGCCGCTAGCCACCTGCTATTAGCAGCAGCAGCAGTAGCTAGCCATGTGCCGCTAGCAGCAACAGCAGCAGCAGCAGCAGCAGCTAGCCAACTTCAGCACAGCAAGCAGTAGCAGCAACAATAAGGAAAAGCACAAGTAGCTAGCAGCAGCTAGCAGCAGCTAGCAGCAGCAACATTTGTCTCGTGGCGTTGCTTTTAGGTATTTGTCTCTTTGGGACAAACGCCTTGTTTGCTTTTTTGCGGGACTGCATTCCTGCTGCTGCTGCTGCTGCTGCTGCTGCTGCTGCGCTGTTGCTTCTGCTGCTACGTCGCTGCTGCTGCTGCTGCTGCTGCTGCTCCTGCTTTTTGCTGCAGATAATGTCCCCAACTCTCGTTGGGCTCTCTGCTGAAGACAAGACTTTCATTTCCTGCTGCTTGTCTCTCTGTTTATCTCCTTCTCTTCCTGGGGGCCCCCAGGGGCCCCGTGCTGCAGCACTCGGGGCCCTTGCTGCTGCAACGCAGCAGCTGCTGCGGCGGGGCCTCAGAGGCGCGTTTGTGCTGCAGCTGCTGCAGCAGCAGCTGCAGCAGGAGATGCGCAGCAAGCGCGTCGACGGCGCAGCGCAGCAGGTCGCGGACGCAGCAGCAGCAACTGCAGCAGCAGCGGAGAAGCCCGAAGAGCTGCAGCGGCTCGCAGCAGCAGCTGCTGCTGCTGCTGCTGCGCCTGCAGCAGCAGAGGCAAAAGATGCTGTGCCCGCGCTGCCGCAGCTGCTGCGAGGCCTCAAAAAGCTGCTGCACTTCTGCTTCCTGTCGCTGCGGAAGTTGGCTTTTGCTGAAGCAGCTGGGGGGCCCCCCGAGGGCCCCCGCAGCAGCTTAGAGGGCCCCCAGGGGGGCCCCCCGGGGGCCCCCCCAGAGGGGCCCCCTGAAGAAGACACAGCTGCGCAGGCTTGCGCAACATTTGTGGAAACCCTGTTTCTGCTGCTGCTGCAGACGGAGGAGCTGCTGCAGCCGCTGCTGCTGCTGCAGCAAAGCACGAAATTTCTGGATATCATACCTGCTGTCGTCGCCCTGTGGCTAGACCCTCCCCCAGCAGCAGCAGCAGCAGCAGCAGCAGCAGCAGCAGCAGCAGCAGCAGCAAGCGCGCCAGAGTCGAGGCAGGGCAGTGCTGCGAACAGCCAGACGTCCCTGCTGCGGCCTGTCCCTCCGTCAGGGCAGCAGCAGCAGCAGCAGCAGCAGCAGCAGCAGCAGCAGCAGTCATTGTATGGAATATATATGAAAGCGAGCCCGGAGACCGCCGAATGTCTGCTGCTTGTTGCGCAGCGAATTCTCAGTAATTCAAAGCCCTAGTTTGTCCTAAACCCTAAACCCTAGACCCTAGCTAAACGCAAAACCCTAGCAAAACCCTAAACCTGCGGCTCAAGCAAACCCTAAACCCTAAACCCTAGAAGTCCCGGATCACTGAAAGCCAACAGCTAATGGTTTAAAGAAGTTGGGAGTGCTTATCTGGCTGCATTTATAGAATTCACAACGTAGCGCTTTGGGTTTAGGGTTTAGGGTTTAGGGTTTAGGGTTTAGGGTTTAGGGTTTAGGGCTTAGGGTTTAGGGTTTAGGGTTTAGGGTTTGTCCGCAGAGTCTATTGTAGACGCAGTTCGGGACGCCTCAGGGCCACTTGTTTCGAAGCGCCTGACTCTCAAAGCAGCTGGGGATGCCCTGAAGCGCATCAATTCTGCTGCTGCTGCTGCTGCTGCTGCTGCTGCTGCTGCTGGAGGGGGTTCGGTGGCAGTGAAGACGGAGCCATCAGCTGAAGCAGCTGCAGCGGCAGACAGCAGCAAGCACAAGAGGGCTGAAGCATTGCATGCATCTTTAAAGGAAGCAAATGAGGCAGTCCTGCTGCAGCAGCAGGAAGAGCAGCAGAACTCGGTAAGCCAGCAGCACTGGCTGCCGCAGCTCTCGCCTTGGCTGCCATTGCTGCAGCTGTTGTTGGCTGCTGCAGCTTCCGCGTTTGCAGCTGTTGCTGCAGCTGTTGCTGCAGTTGTTGCTGCAGCTGTTGCTACAGTTGTTGCTGCAGCTGTTGCTGCAGCTGTTGTTGCAGTTGTTGCTGCAGCTGTTGCTACAGTTGTTGCTGCAGCTGTTGCTGCAGCTGTTGCTGCAGTTGTTGCTGCAGCTGTTGCTGCAGCTGTTGCTGCAGTTGTTGCTGCAGTTGTTGCTGCAGTTGTTGCTGCAGCTGTTGCTGCGGTTGCTGTTGCAGCAGCAGCCGCTACTGCTGCTGCAGCTCCTCGTGCTGCTGGTGTCTATTCAACGAGCTGCCTGTGCTTCTGCTGTTTGCTGCAGCCAGAGTCTGCCCTTGTGACTTTCCCTCTGGTGATGTTGGAGGCGCAGCAGCGGCTGCTGCTGCAGCAAAGAGAGCTGCAGCGGCAGCAGCAACGGCTGCAGCGGGAGGAGCAGCAGCAGCAGCACGAGCAGCAGGGAGATGTGCGGCGGTCATCCCGGCTAATTAGTGCTGCCAGCCCACGGAAGGCCCCCGCTGCTGCCAGCAACAGGCGCAGCAGCAGCAACGGCAGCAGCAGCAGCAGCAGCAGCAGCGAAGACGACCCTATTGAAGACGTCGACGGCAGCAACTCTGGGCCCAGCAGGAGCAAGCGGAATGACGGGTAGCCCCGCATGCCTAACTTTGCTGCTGCAGTGCTGCTGTTGCTGCTGCTGTTGCTGCTGCTGTTGCTGCTGCTGCAGCTGGCCGGGCGGTGCTGGCCCTGCTGCCCATCCCGCTGTCGCTCGTGCTTTTGCTGCTGCTGTGTTGCTGTTGCTGCTGCTGCTGCTGCTGCTGCTGCTAGCTGCTTGGTGTGCCTGTGTGTTGGTTGGCCCTCTGCAGCAACAGCAGCAAGAGGCCCTCGGGCGCTGTCTCTTCGGGTACGCTCTTTTACTGTGCTAGAGAGCTTTGAGTTTAGGGTTTAGGGTTTAGGGTTTAGGGTTTAGGGTTTAGGGTTTGTTTGAGTAAGGATTCAGGGCCTGGTGTTTTGCCTGCGTGCTGCCGCAGCAGATGAGTTCGAGTCAGCCAAATCGGCAGAGCAAAGCCCCTCGCTCTAAGGGGGCCCCCAAGGGGCCCCTGGGGCCCCCTAGGGTCACCTAGGGGCCCCTGGGGGGCCCCATAGGGGCCTCCGGGGGGCCCCATAGGGGCCCCTGGGGGGCCCCCCTTAGTCTCTGTGTCTTTCCCGAAGGCGGGGGCCCCCCTTGCCTTTGGCTTCACAGGGGGGCCCCCTCATTCTGTGGTTCTAAGGCGGGGGGGCCCTCTGGATTTGGCTTTAGTGCAGATTCTTAGGGGCCCCCCTTGGGGCCCCTTGGAACTCTTTGACTTGACAAGGGCCCCACCCTCTATGGGGCCCCCTGTAGGCTTTTGGTTTGAGAGAGAGGGCCCCTCTTGGGGGCCCCACCTGTACCCGTTTGTCCGTGAGGGGGCCCCTTTAAGGGGCCCCCTCTTGGGGTCCCTTAAAGGGGCCCTTGGGGCCCCCTCTACACTATTTGCCGTGGGAGGGCCCCACTGTGGAGCCCCTTGTGGGGCCCCCTTTACCCGTATTGGCCGTGAGAGGGGCCCCTCGGGGGGGCCCCCTTGGAGCCCTTTGTACCCTTTCAGCTGTCAGGGGGGCCCCCCTGTGGGGCCCCCCGCAGCACAGTTTGTGGGGGGATTAGACATTAGAAAAACTCAACTTTGTGTCTGGGGTTGAGGCATTAGAGGCCACTGAGATCTAAAAATTTTAAAGATTTGTTAGGGAGGCCGCTCAGCCAGCTAGCTAGCTAGCCACGCAGCCAGCTAGCTAGCTAGCTAGCTATGCAGTCAGCTAGCTAGCTGCGGAGCCAGCCATTTAGCCAGCTGCAGAGTTGGCCAGCTAGCTAGCCACAAGGCCAGCCAGCTAGCTAGCAACGCAGCTAGCTAGCTAGCTGCGAAGCCCGCCAGCTAGCTAGCGTAGCTAGCCACGCAGCCAGCTAGCTGGCTAGCTTGGCTGCCACAAAAAAAGTTAGAAAGAGCTGGAACTAGCAGCACTTTGGGGTTTCATGTTGCATATATTTCTGCAACAGTGGCCCCTGCGGGGCCCCCCAGGGGCCCCAGGGGGGCCCCCGCCTCATCACAAGTAACAACAGAAAGCCTCTTGACTTCTGTCCACAACTTGAGGTACCGTTTAATACCGCGGAGTGGGTGGGGCCCCCTGGGGCCCCCCGGGGCCCCCTGGGCGGCTGGGCCCGGGGGGCCCCCCCCGGGGGCCCCCCCCTCCTGGGGGCCCCCCGGGGGCCCCCCC